GGTGCGCCGCGCAAAGTAGCGGCCGGATGGGTCGAAGCCCCCGGAGCCCGATGCGCTGCCCTCGAACGCCATGATGATGGGAGAGGGGGGCGAGGAGTTAGCAGCAGAACCTGAAGAAAACGGCTGCGGAGAGACATGCACTCATGACAAAGACCATGCGAGGGTGACAGGAACAGCAACCGCTGCACGCTGCACAACGTCCTCTTTTGACCGGGTCGCGGAGCTAAGTCAGTCTAGCTGAGACAGCCGGGAAAAGCAAGCACCGCGCAGGCACAGAACCGAACCGGCGGGCGGAGAAGATAGCCTTAATGGCCGCTTTTTCGACCAAGTCGGCCTCCCAGTCGTCGGCATCCTCCTGTTCTGCGGGCGGAGCTTCGGACTCCTCGGAGGACAGTGAGACGAGATCCTCCCGGGGGCCCGGGGGCCACTGGGATTGTCGGGAGAGGAGGAGGGGGATCCGCCGGCACAGGATGGAGACAGGCATTGGGGCCGGAGAGTCGGGAAGGCAGTCGGGCAGCCGAGTCCAAAGAAGGAAGAGTTCCCGGGAAGGACCACCGGGAAGTCTGCCACAGGAGCCTCCAGACCACGACCAACCGGCTGCAGCGGACGGAAGCCATTACGGAAAGCCGCGACCACACGAGCCTGTAAGCGGACCATAGGGATGATATCATCACGAGAGTAGAGGGCCACAGAGCGGTCGGCCCCAGAAAGGCGGTGATGCCCCTGGATGCGAGGAGCATCGGACTCAATGGAAAGCTGACGGGCCCAACTGAGCATAGTGGCTTTAAGAGACTGTGCTCGCAACCAAGGAAAACACGGAGGGGAGAGGTTCACGGGAGTGCAGAGACCAGTGCTGGCTGAGCAAATCGCGAAGCCAGGGAACAAAGCTGTCACGGTCCCAGGGCTGAGAAATGAGCGGGCGGCTCTCGGTACCAGAGAGGACGGCCGGCAAAAAATCCAAAGTGCGAGAAGGCTGCAACGCCAGTGTGTCAGAGACGGCCTGGCGCAGGCAAGAAAGGAAGCGGAGCGCCCACGAAGAAGAAGAGCCCAGGAAACCGTGCACCAAGAGCCCCCACGGCATACCACGTTTAGTGGTTTTAGTGCGGACAGAAACGCCAACCAAGGCCTGCGCAGAGAGCTGATATTGGAGTCGGGCGGGAGGGACCCAGATAGAGTCCCCCCAGCGCAAGGAAGCCCAAACACAGACAAGGACAAAGCCCAGACGGAGAACCTGTGCAGGCGACGTGTGTGGGTCCAACACGGACTGCTCCAACCACACGACAAAGGACAGGCTGAGCGGGAGGCTCTCACGGTGCTCGGCCGGGGCGGAAGCAACCGCGAAGGCCCGGCACAACGGAGAAGACAGCGAGTCACGCAAGGAGGGGAGGCCAGCCGTTTTGCACATCCAAGCCAGAGCTTTCAAAGGGGCGGTGGCCAAGCCCTGCGCACTGGCACGAGAAGCGATCCAGTCGGGAAGAAAGCCGGGTGGCGGGGACGCCGAGTGAAAACCCGCATGCTCACAATGACGGGACCAAGAAGACCACTGTTCGAAATAGCGCTCGAGGGTGGAGGGCGCGAACTTCGCAATGGAACGGCACATGTGAGCCTCCGGGTTGGAGGAGGGGCCCGAGCCGGCGGTCGCCAAGCCGAAGTCGTCCTTTCCGCCAGCGGGCCCGGCCGTGCCGACACCCAAGTCTTCGTTTCCGCAGGCTAGCCCGGCTCCCGTGATACCTGAAGTTCGTGCTCCGCCTGCCCCGCTGGACGAGCTTGGTTTCCCTCCGGAAGTTACGTCGGATTCTTCGCTGCCCAAGGCGCAGGCCAGATCGTCTTTTCCGTCTGCCCGCCCGACAGTGGTGCATCCGCCCCCGTGCCTTGTACAGTGCCCGACGCCGGGGTGCTACAACCAGTGCGGCCGTCCGGTCTATGGGCAATCACCTGTGCCGCGTTTGTCACCGCCTCCGAGGCTGATCTTAGGTTCAGGAATTCTGTCCGCTTATAAGGGAAAAAGGCTGCCATCTGCCCTGCTTCGTCCTCGGCATTACCCCATATGGTCGGTTTCGGCTTATCCTCCCCCTCCCTCATGGGGCTACGTTCCAGGGTGGTAGGCTGCGGCTCCGCGACCGTTGGCTGACGCATATCGGGCCGGCAGGCGTATGTCAGGATATGTTGCTTAAAAGCGCCCCAGGACTGGAACTGTTTTTGGCAGTGCTTGCACTGTGGCATGCCGTTGATGCTGTGTTCGTGTTGTTGATATTGCTGAGTGGCCTCCTTGCTCGCAGCAACGTAAATTTTG